ATTAAGGTACAGTTGCATACATATTTTGTTTAGCAGGGCATCACGGAATTACCGATTAGCTGTACCTGTATTCTTGTGTATTTGTGTTAGATCCTGCTCAATTTATGAAAGCTATCTGTATTTTTCAATGTATTTACACATGATAAACAAGAAGGTAGTTGTGATTGTTTTCTATATAAATTTCACCCTGCATGATGATTTACTAACCCGAAATCGAATCAAATTCTTAGACCTCATCCGAACGATGTTCGGGAAGTGATCTGGATGGTGATATTTACTTTGTCTGTTGGGACACGGATTTTATTCCGCCTAGGCAAATTGAGCCTATGGATTACCCACCAGCTCCAAGTGCTACACTGGATCGTGAAGTAACCATTGAGGTATTATTCTTTTAGGTGTTCTGTTCATGTTGTTAATCATTTAATGATCATACCGTGTAGTCTGTTTCTGGCAGTAGCTTCCGTTTTCGAACTCGATATCCTATGCGATTTTATTTGCTGGGTTGTGGAGATTTAATGCTGTGATCATTGATAATTGCTATAATGTTTTGGTGTAGGAAATTGAAGAATATTTCACAAACTACACGATCAATGGAAGTTTAGGAATCATTTCACATGCCCATGTTGCTTTTCCTGATAGAGAAACCGGCAAAGCGATGAGCCGCTCGTGCCTGGAGCTTGCGAAGCTGCATTCGATTGCGGTTGACTTTCCGAAAACAGGCGTACCAGCTGAAATTCCGCAAGAATTGAGTCATAGAATATCCGGATATCATGGAGAAGTCGGAAAAACCAAGTTATCAATCACATAGAATTATTGGAAAGCTTTTCCGAGAGGTGAAAAGTCTTGCACCCAACGAATGCTCGATCAATTCCTTAACTCGGGAGAAAATGGAGAGGTTTTATGATCCCGACATGGAAGTCGATGGCTTCGAGGATTATATCGACGATGCATTCTTCCACAAAAGTAATTACGATTACAAACTGGGGAACTTGATGGACTATTATGGGATCAAGACCGAGGCCGAAATCCTCAGTGGTTGTGTCATGAAAATGTCGAGATCTTTCACTAAGAGAAGAGACACGGAAGCCGATGGTATGGACGTGAGGTCATTTGAAAAAGGAAACTAGGTCATGGTTCAATGAAAAGCGAAGTGGATTGGATGATGAAATAGACGATGCATATGCAAAAGCCTTGGCTTGGTACAATGTCACATACCATCCAAGTTATTTTGGTCAGTATAATGAAGGAATGAATAGGGATCATTTTCTGAGCTTTGCTTGGTGTGTTTATGACAAGCTGATCCAAACCAAGAAAGAGAATACGAGCATTCGGAGAGCTTTGGATACGTCGTCTTTGGAAAGCCGGTTTCGACGTGGATTGGGTTTGGATTGAGGCGGTTCGGCATATGTTTCCTGTTGTCCGAAGTATGTAAATCTGGGTAGTTAATGTTTCCCTAGTATGATCGATGTTGTCTAATGTAAATACCAGTGGTTGTAATTGAGAAAAAAAGAAAGAACATTGTATGATATGCTGCAAATTATGTTGGTTTGATGTATGTACGTGAATCCTGCCTTCGAACTACGTCGGATAACGCTCGGCTTGCAGTGCTTTCGTCAACCGAAACAGCCAATGCAGTGGAGAGACGTCGTAGGCAACACCGCAGCATCACGCGAATCTAATCAATAACATTATAAAGGTGGAGGGACTAAATGAATATCAAATTTCATTGGGAAACTGCCCATTTTTATCAAAAATCTCGATGCTAAACTGCCCATTTTTCTCTACTGTCGCCGCCATCTCCTCCGGCGACGGGGTGTATATCGGCAAGTTAAACTAATCCACTTTGTCTTCCTTTATCAACCCTTCATTCTCCATACCCATGAAGCTCGACGACATGTACCCGTACATTAGACTAGCGGTCAATTGAGAATAAGTCATTTCATTGGGAATACTGGGCATGCTGATGACCATCATGCCGCCACTAACGATCTTCGTTCCTCTCGCACACAAGAAATCTTCCATGTCCGTGGTGAATTGAGCTGCGTAAACTCGGACTACTTCGTCGGAAGCATTGGTGTAGTGTATCCTCCCTTTGTTCCATGCACTCATGTTTTTGTCTAGCAGGCTAGCAGCTCTTCTGGTACCTTGGAAAGCTAACGGAGAGCGTACGAGCTGTGCGCGAAATGGATCGAGGATGCCGGGAACAACCGGCGGTGATACGAGCCCGGCACACCGGCCGGGAAGTAGGGCGTTCCCCGAGGGAGAGACATGAAGAGTGTGTTGAAATCGATGGATGGTTGGTCGTTGAAAAACACTAGGAATTCGAGTGTTTTGTCGGATTTCGGACATCGGACACTGTACTTATGTTGTATCCTTAACCACATTTGCAGTAAATCTCTGCCAATTGTGATAATTACAAATTTTTATAGGAGTTAAAATGTAATTTTACCATTGATTTGACTTCAAACTTTCCTTTTTCTAGAATAGTTAACTCCACATGAGGTCCCTTAACTATAACCTCTATTTTAAATTGGTCTCCATACTCTAAAACATTTTATATCGGTCCCCAACTATAACCCATTCTAAGTTGATCAAACTTTAAAACATTTTATGTCATTCCTCAAACTATCATATCATTCCATTTTGATACTGATAGTTTAAGGGCATATATAGAATATCTTAAAGTTTATGGACCAATTTAAAATGATGTCATAATTTGAAGACCGATATAGAATATTTTAAAGCTCAAAGACTAATTTAAAATAAGTCGTAATTTGAGGATATCCTATCCAGTTGTCTCTGTTTAGAATGAATAAATCACAAATTTTATTTTAAGAGATTAAAATATAACTGGGTAAATTACACATTTAGTACTTAAACTATCAGCTTTGGTCCTTTTTAGTATCTAGACTTTCATTTTTTTTTCAAAATCATACCTAATGCTTAGTTTTTGTTTCATTTTAGTACCCTCCATTAAAGAAAAACTTGGAAGTTTAGGTACTAATATAGACCAAAACTGATAGTTTAGGTATTAAACGCGAAATTTACCCTATATAATTTTATCATATAACTTATAGTTTTACAATTCAAAGAGGTTCATGTATAATTTTACCAATTAATGAATTAAAAACTTTAAAAAAAAAAAGATTAGACCTGAAAGTAAGAGTTTCTGGTGTAGCTGTAAGCGCCATCGCCACCGTTGACATGAAATGAATCTGGAAGTGGCTGTCTTTCATTGTCACTACCACCGTCGGCACCGCTGATGAGTGGAGTCGGAGTAGAATCAACCTCCACCATTATTGTTATTTGTAGAGATTAAATAGAAATTAAGGGAGAAAATGGCATGCACGTGCATATCATGGAGGAATCAATACTATATTGATTTGTTTTATTACATTAATGCTGTATATCATGTCTGGTAATATACATACGAGTTAATCGTAGTAAACATTTTCAAATTATGACTTTCATTTTAAATTTTGGGTAAATTATGTTTTTAGTTTCTATATTTTCAATTTTTTCAAATTCATACCTAAAGTTTAGTTTTTGTTTCATTTTAGTATCTTACCGTTAGAAACTTTAGTCTTTGTTTCATTTTAGTATCCCGTTCAAAATTTAACATTAAGTTTTGAAAAACTGAAAGTTTAGGTACTAAAACGGAGCAAAACTGATAGTTTAAGTACTAAACGCGTTAAGTTTTTAACGGCATGATATTAAAATGAAATGAAAATTACACGTTAGGTATGATTTAAAAAATTAAAAGGTTAGTCATTAAAATGGATCAAAACTGATAGTTTAAATACTAAATGCGTAGTTTACCCTTTAAACGATTAAAAGTTTTTCACAACAAACAAAGAGTATATTTTCAAATTACTCAAAATTTGACATATATAATTTACAGGAATCAAATGGTTAAAATATAAAATCATATAAAATAACTGCCTTTCACAGAATCACAGTAATAGAGAGAGAGAGTTAATTGTATCATATATCCTCAAATTATAACTCTCCTTTTAAATTGTTCTTAAACTTTTGGATGTTTCAAGTTAATCCCCAAATTATTACTCTTATTCTAAATTAGTCCTTAAACTTTTGAACATTCTATTTTCATCCCTAAACTATGACCCTCTTTCTAGATTAGTCTCTAAACTTTTGAATATTCTAATTTCATCCCCAAATTCATCCAAAGATGTAACTAGTTTCAGTCATAATTTAACCTAAATTTTGTTTTTCTTCAAACATATAACTATATAACTTGGACTAACGATTTTATTAACAATGAATGTGATCTGTATATACGTATAGTTTGCAATGAAATTGGAATGCTCAAAAAGTTTGGAGACCAATTTAGAAAGAGGGTCATAGTTTAAGGATGAAATCAAAATGTTCAAAAATTTGAGGACTAATTTAGAATAATATTCATAGTTTAGGGATGAAATTGAAACATTAAGAAGTTTAGGAACCAATTTAAAATGAGAGTAATAGTTTGAGGATATACGATGCAATTAATTCATATATATATATATATATATATATATATAAACACATACAATATACATACACTGATACAGTTGCATAGGCAAACATGATTCTGTCACTCTATGCTGAGCATGAGATCAGTCTCGAAAGGCACATGGGAGCATGGTTTTGTCCTTGTCAAACATGGGACCAGCAAGCTTGCTTGTCTTCTCTGCCCCATTAATACATTCCTTCTTTTAGCTTTACGTTTTGTTTATTCTCCTTTTTTATTCAATCGGATAGGGTTGGGAGATTCATGCTTAGTATTTGTTGATGCAAAATTAAGAGATCGGTGATGTTTGACTACGGTTCACCTTTCTGATTTGGGTGGAGAGTCGATAAGAACGACGGTGAATCGGTGATCGAAATTTGGGTGGGGATTCGTTAAGAACGACGGTGATCGGAATCATAAATTATGAATTTTCGAATCATAGCTTTGCATCCACTCTTAATGAGAGTACATATACAAGGAGAGAATTGCATGAGGATGTGGGATTTAAATCTAAATACCAACATTAAACGGATCAAAGGAAACCCAGATGTTCTGTTCTCATCAAACCCTGCATTATAAACTATCTGGTTCTTCAGACATTAGTGAATAAGAACTAAGGATGGATAACCTTAGCTATGCCGAAAGCGGCGGCGGATGCAATGGCACCGATGAGCGCGGTTTGGAGAGCGCTTTTAACCGGTTTGTTTCCGGTGAAGTAACCTTTGGCGTAACCGAAGATGAGGAGTGCAGCTATGGTGATGACCACCGATGCAACCACAGCATCCTTGGCTCTTGGGATGAACATGTAGGGAAGGAGTGGCACCAATCCACCAAATATGTATGCAATGGCAATGTTGAATGCGCTTTGCAGTGCTCTCCTTGGATCTGGCTTCTCTAATCCCAGCTCAAACCTGCATATTTTATCAAGGTCAAATTATGTGATTACTCATTAGTCCTTATACTCTATTTTAATTCATTTTAACCCTTGTATTTTTTTTGAATTTTGAAATTCTAATTTTGACTCAAATAATACAAGGATGATATGATTAAACTACAAAAACTTGAAATAACCAAATCAGAAATCAGGAACTAAATATAAGACTTAAAAATAACATAGAGACTAATAACCGATGACGAATTCAGAAATGTTTCCCAGGGTAAACACACGTATATTAACAACGACGTAAAATGGGTGAACCCAAATAAAATCTTAGGATTGGAATAGACTATAAAATTAATAACTAATAAAAGAAAATCCAAATTTATCCACCCTTGATATAGTATGAGTCCCCCCATACATAATAACGTAGTTTAACTTAACAGATTTCACAACTACTGTTTGATTTAAGAACAAATTAAAGTACATAGACAAACTAAATCCAACTTACAATATAATTCATTGACTAATAGAAGAATTTAACCTTTCGCCAGTCGTTGTGTATTACTACCTTGGAATTTTATGAAAATAAAATAAAGATGAACATAGGATGATCTATAACTTATATCTGATCATCACATAAACCATAACAATATTCGAAGTTGAATTGGTATGAATCTTTAAAATAAAATAAAAAAATCTCTCAATATAATTTTTTTTATAATTAAAAAATGGATAAATTAACACATTTAGTATCTAAATTATCAGTTTTGATCTGTTTTAGTACCTAAACATTCATTTTTTTCAAGTCATACCTAAAGTTTAGTTTTTGTTTCAGTTTACTTCCCATGTTCAAAATTTAACGTTGAGTTTTGAAAAACTTTTGAAAATTTAGGCACTAAAACGGACCAAAACCGATATTTTAGGTACTAGACGCGTTAAGTTTTTAACGGCGGGTCCTAAAATGAAACAAAAACTAAACATTAGATATGATTTTAAAAAAAATTAAAAGTTAAGATACTAAGACGGACCAAAACTTATAATTTAGGTACTAAATGCTAGTTTATCCTTAAAAACACTTAAAATCATACTAAAAAGTACATATGGTCGGTTGCTAATTGAATCAATAAAAGTTGATAGGTTGTCTTTTTGTCCTCAAGTATGATCCACTGAAGAATAACGAGAGAATGTAATAGAGAAGTATGGAAATCTTTGTTACACATACAAACAAAGAGAATTTTCTTTAAAGTAAATCAAAATGGCCCCCAAAGTTGCATGCAAGAATCTGATGCAGTCTGATCCCTTGCCACATGGGGACCTTCTTAAAAGAGAAAACAGCTTTTAGCCGAACATTTGAAAAGCAAATTTGGCATTTTGCTCTACTTTTTAGAGACTCATTCACGCAATTCGTCAAACAACTCAACTGCTACAATCTAGCTAATATTCATTCCAAGAGAAGCAAACAAACAATTGTTTACTTTGAATCTATTCTTTTTATCTAATTGTTAGGTACTTAAAACTTGGAATCGCTTGTAAAACAATGGATTCCGCCCATAACGCCATTGTTGAAGGATTGATAACATGAATGCAAATATAAATTTGAACTTACTTCATCATGAAATCAAGCCAAGCCCGAGGCCTTTTTCTTAGAGCATTTACCACCGGTGCATATTCGTGTGGTTCTACGCCATACTCCGCCAGTATCTCCGCCACTTCAGCAGCCTCTGCATTTTCACCAAACAACAGAAAGAAACCAGTAATTTTGACACTACTGTATTCATGAAATGCAGCCGTATTCATGATGATAAGTTTAACTATTACCAGTATCAGGCACACTGATGATTTCTTCTTGCTCTCTTTTCAACTCCCTTGCGTAATGATCGGCTTCACTTTTAGCCGCGAGGTACCTGCAAAGGCCTAACATCTTTACACCTTTCCACTTTCATTTTGCTCGCATTTTCTTAGAAACCAAACAGTACCCATTGTCCCAAACATATCTAAACAACGAAAATATCAATATACGTGTTTTGAGTTTACCCGCCGAGTCCCATGGAGATGGCTCCCGCGGCAACTTCGGCGATGCCGGCGGTGATAACAATTGAAGAACTAGCGTTGGCGCCGGATAATCCGGCGGCGAGAGCAAATGGCACGGTTAAACCATCGGAAACACCGATGATGATGTCACGGACGATCTCTCCGGCGGTGAAGTGTTTCTCCTTGTGGTGATTGAGGAGGCTTTGCTTCTCGGGTTCAACGGTTCCTCTACCGTTCTCGGCTGCCATCGGAAAACGAGTTCGTGGGTGTGCGTTTGTTTGTTGTTTTGGTAAGTAATTGCAGGTTTGAAAGGGAATCGAAATGGGAAGTCGTCAACAAATATGGGCGGCTCTGGTTTTTGTATAAAGAAGGGAAAATACTGGCGTGTTTGGCAAGTGTTACCTTTTTCCATATGAAGCCGAACTCCGCAATTAATTGGATTCGAATCCAGGTTATTTATTTATTACGGTAAATTATCCTTACCCTTTATAAAATAAGTGTTTAAATTATAGCGGTATTTATAAAAAAAATAATTACATTATTTTCTAAATGTTGTCAGTGTCTACAATCGTTATCACTTTAGGTATTTGGACCGACAACGACGTTAATTTTCTTAAATGACACATGTCACGTTATTGTAATTATGAAATTTACTTTTATTAAAATATTAGTATATTTATAAAAAAAACTCTAATTTCTCTTAAATTACAAAAAAATCTCTAAAAACCCCAAAACCTAACTCTAATTCATTATTGCTATCCTTTCTGGTCACGACCACCATCGTTGACATAGTCCATATCGTCCTCCTAGTCATACGTCGTCGTAGTTGTCGCTGATTGGCCATTAGAATCGCGTGGGTTTCATCCTAGGCTTCGTGGGGTATAAAACATCAATCGGTCACAATTTCATAGGGTTTTGGTCGTCGGGAGAGGTGAGGTCGGGTGGAACTTCATCGACGGCAAAGGGTGACGGCCGACGTGGTTTTAGGGGTTGAAATGAGAGTTTTTAAAGTTTTTGGGGTTATTTTGATTTTTTTTGTTTTTAAATTTTAATTTTTAAAATTTTAAATAAAATTTTTAAAATTATCAGAATATGAAATGTACCACTTAATGGAGGAAATTAACAATGTTAACAGTTTGAGCACCTAAAGTGATAACATTAGCCATCGAGTATAAAAGTAGTTTAAGGACCTATTCATGAAAATGTTATAATTTTGACACTTATTTTGTAATTAAGCCTTATCCTTAAGTGTGAATGACGTTTGGAGTTTATATTGGTTTTATTATTGAATTTCAAAGTGATTTAATTTTAATATTACATTTTATTTTTAAATTGAGTTAAAATATTAATGTATTAAATCATTAATAATCAAACTAAATGATAGTTTAGTGCTAACTTAAAAATAAGGTGGTGACATAACCAATAAATAGTTTATTTAATAGAATAAGACATTAGATCTTTTAAGCAAGGTCAAGGGTCCAAATCTTAACAATTGCGATTGGAGCAAATTGGGTTAGGAGGTCGCCCTTGCCTTTGCATAAATATTAAGATAAAATATATATTTGATACCTAAACTATCAGTTTGGTCCATTTTCGTACTTGAATTTTCATTTTTTTTTTCAAAACCATACTTCGCATTTAGTACATAAACTATCAATTATGATCCATTTTAGTACCTAAACTTTCATTTTTTTCAAACTTAACATTAAATTTTGAACAAAATACTAAAATAAAACAAAAAGCAAAGCTTTTAACACCATAATACTAAAATGAAACAAATTTTAAACTTTAAATATGATTTTAAAAAAAATTAAAAGTTTAAATATTAAAACAAACGAAAACCGATCATTTAAATATTACACACATAATTTAAAATATTAACAATAATTTACTTAATTTGACACACACAAAATAGTTAACAAAATTTCAAAATCGAATAGTTAAAGCATCTACAAACAGTGTACCCTAATTTATTTGACTTATCACACCAACACCAACACCATGTACCAATAAGTACAGTTGGGTGTTTAATTAGGCACTATAAATTGTTATAATAATCCATTAAAGATTTTAGCAATTGGTAATAATAATTAGTAATTTACAAACAAGGCAAGATGTTTTCCATTGTTGAATACAGACAACTACAGAAGTTCAACAACTGGGAGCACAGGCTATGCTAAACTTACTTGGGATTCCTAAGAACAATAATAACAGAATCTCCCCTCAGAAACATCTTGCTGATGAATCTATCCTTGTTAACCGGCAATGCCTTCTTCTTGCCTTTCCCGGTTTTCGGCACCTATATTCGAATGGAGAAACGATTTTAACCTTTTAATTCGACCGTCACACAGATTAATGTATAAGATGAAGGCATACGAAAGAAGGAAACGAGAAACTACCTCGGTCCACATTTCCCTGACATTTTCCAGAACCATGTTGCAGTGGCGGTCGAAAGCTCTCACTCGGCCTAGGAGTTTTTTGTTGTTTCGACAGTTGATGAGAACCTGCTTCCGTAAAGATTAAATTCGGTTCTGAATAAATCATGGTGTGATTAACGTTTAGATGAGCATTGCTAGGGGTTCAGAATATTGAAATATTACCTGAGTGTTGTTTTTAACGCTCATCATCAGAACCGATAGTGGCCCGGTGTTAAATTCCTCTTCTTCATTCTTCACAGTCTGCAGGCAGGTAAGCAAGCAATGAACCGATATCAGCAAACATATATGTTTTACACGATAGCGTATGAAAAACAAAAACAAGCATTCTTTTCGATTTAATGAAGAGGGAAAAAGCATTTAAGGATACATACATCTTCTTCCATCGGTCGACTGCAAAAAGCAAAGCAGACAAAAGAGAGGATTAGCATATGATACACGAAATGCAACGAGCAACATTTTAATGCTACTAAATGAACAGAGCAAATGACAGAAGAAAAGGGCAAAAATAATCAGCACCTCATTTTCAACTACGAAATCTTTCAGTGTAATCTCTTGGTAACCCCAACAAAAACCTGCAAAAAAATAAAACAAATACAATTAAAACCAAAAACTCGAGAAATGCTCTGTACATGTTACAATGGAACCAACAGGGGAGAACTGGACACTTTCGAAAAAATTGTAGAATATGAAAATGCATAACCAAAAAACACTACAGAATTTGCCCAAATGGAAATGGCATTACTTGATCTTCACTACAAAATTGACCAATGATCAAAAACAAACTATTACTAGTCAAAACCCAATGGCTCGGTTTTACTTTTACTTTATGTTCATATGAAAATCATCAAAGCTACTCAAGTTCGAGTTTTTTTTATTAATTTGAGGCAAGTAAAAGGCAATATCTATTCAAAGATAACTTTGAACCATTTAATATTAAACAATCACCAATGGCAAATGCTCGAACCCAGAACCTCAAGAAATAACAACTACTTTATCACCGAGGTCACTTGGTTCATGCTACTTGAGTTCGATAGTGAATGTCAGACATGGGTATGTTAAAGATATATATATATATATATATATATATATAACCATGATTAAATAGGGATCAAACATGAGTGTCTGACAAGGTTACTTCAGTAAAATAAAGATTTGGGCAACATACAGAACAAAGGTTACTTGATCCATAACCATGACTAAATAGGGATCAAACATTACTTGATCCATAACCATGACTAAATAGGGATCAAAAATTGTATTGAAAGATCTTCTGAAACTCTTCAGCTCAGGTCTCCATAAACTTTCAGCATTTATTAGCTCAGGAGAACGAAAGTTTCATACTAAACATCATCAGAGTGACAAAAGAACTTCAATGCCTAATAACGAAAAGATCAAATACAAGCTACGTTATTAACTGAAATGCAAAATAAATTATTTTCCTAAACACTAATTCAACAGCAGATATAAGCTAATTTACATCAACCTCTTCAGTTCAGGTCTCCAGAAATTTTCCGCATGGATTTTCTCGGAAGAACGAAAGTTTTCATTTTCAATCATCCTCAGAGGCAAACAGGATAAATATTCAATCAATAAAACACACCACGTACAAAATGAAATAAAATATTAAAACAAACTATAATATCTCTTCAGCTCAGGTCTCCATATAGAATTCCGCATGGATTTTTCTCTCGGAAGAACGAAAGTTCTTCAAATTTAAATCATCATCAGATATATTTTGCGGAATCATTACATTATCGAAAACACTAAACAGAAAAAAAAACTAGCTGAGCAAACATTTGAAAGGAGTGAAGAGCGGGAAAAGAAGAGATTCAAAATGAATTTACCTGATGAGCACCTTGACCAATGAGATCTGGTTTGAAAAGAAGCAGAGGGAAGAGCCGTTTTATAGAGATTCCTTCGGTCCTTCGACGACCAAAGAGAAACCCCGTAGTTTTAAATTAGGGTTTTTGTTGTTGGGCTTAAAACTAGTGTTTGGGGGCAAAATTGTCGCAATAGATAAATTTAGATCATTTTTAAAATTTAATTTAAGATTTACGATAAATGTTACTGTATAAAAAAATTTCGTTACGTTTAAATAATATTTAAAATATATTATATCATTGACCACTCAATTGTATAACCCTTTTACTTTAACTATTGATATTTTAATTTTATTAATCAGATCATTTAACTATTTAATTATTGTCAATCAAATCACTTATCATTAACAATTGACGAAAATGCTGACATGACAGTTAATGAAATTGACATAATTATACATTTAGTCCTCAATGTTTATACATTCTATTAATTTGATCTCAATTTTAATTTGATTTAATAAATTTATTATTTTATTTTCTACTCAATCAAATAGTCACGTAAACCAATAGGCTAAACCCTCCGCTTGATTGAAAGCTGCAGAGTGCAAATTACATATTGTAACAAAATGACAGAACAAATAAAAAGAAAGTTAAAAAAGATACAAAATAATTTCATATATTTTTAATAGAAATAAATTAAGTTAATAAAAATAAAATTATTATTTAAATTAAAAATTATTACTTAAATATATATAAGGAATTATTAATAAAAAAATTTAAAATTATTACTTAAGTTATACAACTTAAATATATGCTTATATATATAAATTAGTATTAAATTTATCAACTAATTTATTTTTTAATAATTTATTCCTTTTTAATAAAAATAAATATATATATGTATGAGATTATTACTAAAAAAATTAAAATTATTATTTTTGGGTCAATCAACTTGATTGGGATGTTGATTCATAACCCCAAATACCTAGGTTTAAATCTCGTCCATCCCTTTTGGGTGATTTTCTCTTCTATTGCTAATTTTTCATCGAATCTAACGGTGACATGTGTCTTTATTTGATTGTGTTGGGTGGAAAATAAATTAATTAAATTAAAAAAAATCCCTCATTCATGTTGTGACATGTGTCACAATCTAACTAGATGATTAAATTAAATTAAAATTATGATCAAATTAATAGAATGTATAAATATTGAGGATTAAATGTATAATTAATCAGATCATTTAACTATTTAATTATCATCAATTAAATCACTTACCATTAACAATTGACGAAAATGTTGACATGACAGTTAATAAAATTGACATAATTAAACATTTAGTCCTCGATGTTTATACATTCTATTAATTTGATCTTAATTTTAATTTGATTTAATAAATTTATTATTTTATTTTCTACTCAATCAAATAGCCACATATGTCACCGGCTTGGATAAACCAATAGGCTAAACCCTCCGCTTGATTGAAAGCTGCAGAGTGCAAATTACATATTGTAACAAAATGACAGAACAAATAAAAAGAAAGTTCAAAAAGGAATACAAAATAATTTCATATATTTTTAATAGAAATAAATTAAGTTAACAGATATACAATTATTATTTAAATTAAAAATTATTACTTAAATATATATAAGGAATTATTAATAAATTTTTTAAAATTATTACTTAAGTTATACAGCTTAAATCTATTCTTATATATATATTAGTATTAAATTTATCAACTAATTTATTTTTAAATAATTTATTCATTTTTAATAAAAATAAACTTATATATATATATATATATATGAGATTATTACTAAAAATTAAAATTATTATTTAAAAGTTTTGAACCTGGCAATAAAATTTTGAATAATTTTAATTTTTACTAATAATCTCATGTATATATATAAGTTTATTTTTATTAAAAATATGTTATAATATGTAAGTTTATATATATATATATATATATATATATATATATATATATATAAGTTTAATTAGTTACCATATGTAAATTGCATTATGCAACTTTCAATCAACTAGAGGGTCTAGCCTAGTGATTGGGATGTTGATTCATAACCCACAATACCTAGGTTTAAATCTCTCCCTTCCCTTTAGGGTGATTTTCTGTTCTATTGCTAATTTTCCATCGAATCTGACGGTGACACATGTCATTATTTGATTGATTCATGTTGTGACACATGTCACAATCTAACTAGAGGATTAAATTTATTAAATTAAATTAAAATAATGACCAAATTAATAGAATGTATAAATATTGAGAACTAAATGTAGAATTATGTTAATTTTGTTAACTGTCACATCAATATTTTGTCAACTGTTAACGACAAGCAACTTGATTGACAACAATTAAATAGTTAAGTGGTCAGATTGACAAAATTAAAAGATCGATGATTGAAGTAAAAGGACTATATAATTAAATGATCAATGATATAATTTATCTTAATATCTTTTATTTAAACTCATCACATTAACGTGATGAGTGTCAAATCATTATAACAAATTTAATAAATTATAAATTAATTTTATAGATAACCTAATAAACTAATTCTTACTCGTTAGGCCTTTTGGCCCAATTTTGTCAGTGTTTAGTATCAAACATAAATGCATTTGGGGTTTTGGGCTATAGTTTGTTTTAGTTTATGGGCTCAAGTAATCAAATCACAAATAGGCTTTTTGGTAAACTACACATTTAGTCCCTCGATGTTTAGACTATTTCTGTTTTAGCCATTAACTATAAGTTTTTAACTTAATCATTTAAATTTCAAATTTCAATCGTTTAGGTAATTAGACCATCATTTTTAACAGCGTTTATTTTTTTGGAAAATTTGTGCAAACCCCCCTAAATCTCCCCAAACTTAGATTTTCATACTTCTTTTGATCTACTAACTTCAATAATACTTTCTTTCAAATGATGATGAGGTCTAGAAGGAGAAGAAAAGCAATATATCACAATTTCACATGAATCAAATGATGAAAATTACAGATCGAATCAAAATAAGATTAAAGTTTTTATTTTTTTGTAGGAAAATTTGAAGGAAAAAATCAAGCTGAGAAGAAGAAAGATAAAAATATATATATATACTTTAATACCAATTATATCACAAATAAAAAGAAACAAATATTAATTTCGCACAATGATTAAACATAATTTGTGATATATTAATTATATAATATTACATAATTTAATAAAAATAAAATAGAATTTTTTAGGGGAAAAAACAAATATTAGATGGATGCAGGGCATGAGACCCGAACTCAATGGGCTCCGACCCGAACTCGATGGGTTCCGACCCAACCGGGTTAGGTTTTTTTTTTAAAATTCGGGTTCGGGTCGGATTCGGGTTTAAGGTAAAAGATACCCGACCTGAAAAAAATAATTTTACCTTATATATTTAAGAATAATTATAATAATACCCTCTATATATTATTTTTTTCTAATTAAATCATTGTTTTTATTGAATAAAAATAAATTTTTTTTTATTTTGGGTCGGGTCAGATCGGGTTCGTATTTTATCTCAAAAATCCGAGTCGAGTGGAGGGTATATATTTTTTTTAAATCGGGTGGATAATGTAAAATTTTCTCACGCCTATTAAAGACAACAGCAAACATTCCTTTACCTTCAAATCATTCCCATATATATAAAAATAAATAAATATGAAAGAGCAGCCCATTATGACGTATATAAAAAATAGAACTAGCAACCCATTATGAAAGAGCGTCCCATGTTTCTTTCCTACACATTCACGTGCTTAACTATTATACTCTGCTAGAGCATATATATATGACAGATTAATGTTAATCCATTATACGAAAATACGAAGGGTGAGAAACATTTTTTTTTTGAAAAAGACGAATAAGATGTTCTAAATTAGTCTCATCAGTCGATTGTCGGAGGAGATCGAAGTATTAGAACGTTAAATTTTTATATTAATTTTTACCGATTTAGAGTAAATTCCGTAAAAAGTCAATATCAAAAGAAGAAACATAAGTGAAATACAAAAATTTTAGTAGAATGACGGGAAACGATTAACCAATGTTAACAATTTTACCCGACAATAGTTAAATTAATACTTAAAGTAAAATTTAGTGACAAAATCGATTAAAAAATATATTACTAGTGATTCCTTAATACTTACATTGAACCCAAAACTAAAGCTCACTCCTTACCTGAAACCATTTGATTAAAAAAATGTATTACTAGTTATTCCTTAATACTTACTACGTAAAATCAAAAAGTTTTACATCTTTTTAGGTCGTTGGATGAGGAAAAATCAAAGGTTGAGATTAACATTAAGAAATGAGAAGATATTCATTTGAAAAAAAATAATTAGTTAATCTCAGCCTTCGATTTTCCTCCTCCAACGCTCCTAAAGGGTATAAAACTTTTAGTTTTACATTATGTGGAAGTGAATCCTAACATTTATATATATATATATATATATATTCCAATAAATATCTTATCATTTTCTACCGTTAATCTTAACATTTAATTTCTCTCGCGGAATATCTTAAAAATGTGTAAAACTAAAAGAGCTTTACACGGTAAGGTGGATCCTATCCCTAAGTATATAACTGCATAAATTGCCCATATCTTGTAGCCATGCCCATGTGCAACTTGCTAGCTGCCCCCTCAAAATTTTCCACTTTCTTTTGCTTTCCCTTTTACCTCGTTTCGTACTTGCTTCGTGGGATTCTCCATTTTCACACCATTCCCTCCCTTTTTTGCAGCTCTTTTTGTCTGCCACATTCATATGAACCTAAACAAGACATTGTTCCCATCATACAACAAGAATTCAAGGGTCCCAAAATTAGATCGTAACCAAAGGTCATTCGAACATAAAACACACACACTTACGTGAAAAAACCGACGTTAATCGAGACAAATAACACGAAAAAACCGACGATAATCGAGACAAATAACACAATCTTTAAGGAGACAACATGCCAACTCGACCGTCTAAACTGAACTCTGAGTTTTGATGAATACGTGATTATAAAAGAAATATGTTATTTGAGTTATATCTTTGCATTCGTCGAATGATTGTAAATCAGTGTAAAATTAAAGAGTTTTATTTCACCGAAAAGGAAAACAAAATCATTATAGATCCAGGGGTAGATACAATACATCTTTGAAAAGCATTGCCATTTGCTGCCCATCAACCTCAACTCAATGCCCATTTTTTCACATGCTTTACAAAAAAAATTATTACCCTTTCATGGCATTGTGGGACTGACCTTCTCAACTAACCCCCCAACTAAGTTCCAAAATGAGGGTCTAATCTTCTCTTTCATTGAGAAAAAAAGGGAAAGAAAGTATGGCTTGATGAAATTGTTACTAGCTAATTTAAGTACCCTTTGTTGAGTATCGACCGAAAAGCCTCGAATCGTTAACCAACCGGAGCTCTACGAGGAGTGCCTTTCCGTTTCATCGATTGTTTCCTAGGCTTTAAACTTTTGGTCACCGATGTTTTTGTCTCCTCGGAGACATCGGTTGATGAAAGGGATGATTGCTTCTCTTCCGTGCTTATTTCCGGTGAATTTTTATTGCATTTCCATGGAAGACCGGGGAATTCGAGTTTACCGGTTCGGTTTCTAGGCTTCACATGATCAACGGTTGAGACCTGGAATGCATGTTAAAAGTTCAAGTCAAGTGAAATGGGGTATAATTCAAGTTATGAAACCGGGTTGAATTTTACTCTACCTTGCATGCAATGGAACAAAATCTATTAGGAGGGTCTTGAAGGTATCTTCCACAAGCTTCACAGGAGGCGCCCGGTCTCGGTTTCATCGACAGTTTAGCGTCTTTAGCTTGAGGCCGAGGGTTCAAATGTACAGCTTTTTCACCATTGATTTTATACGTCTGCAAAATGATTACAAATCATTCATGTATGCATGTAACAGTAACAATCACAACAAAATTGATATAGTTTGTGCATTCTAATAAGTGATTTACCCAAAAACAATCATTGATCACATCTATGATACTATCAAATCAACAAGGCAAATGAATCACATTGAATTCATTACACTTACAATGAAATTTTAAGAACTAAAGACCAATGGTAGGCACTGGGAAATCACCTGAATTTTAGAACAATCAATATGTTTCTGCACTTCTTGAAGTCGAACAACATCTTGATAGACATATTTGCAGATCTGAAGCGAAAGATGCTGGCTATGGACCTTACAGTGCCGGCAAAACCCGAGGCTGCAATCGATGCAGAACACGTTCTTCTCGTTTTTTCGAAGATCTTGATGATCAGAGCAAGGGCTAAAGAATTCGGTTTGAAGAAGGGTACTAAGCCAATCTGTTTCCTCCTTGATGAACAACTCGCAACCCACCTGCAATAACCAAATTCTTAATCCATTCGAATCGAAAAGGCTCGAGAAAAGTTATGAGCTTTCAAGCATATGGATTCACAATTCATTCTAAAATTACACCTTTGATGATTAATAAGTACTCAAAAGCAATGGATTTACTCATTTACAATCCATTACAAGATTCAACATTTTTGTGAATATACCACTTGGAATAAGTATAATTGATAAAATTCAAACACAAACTGTAACAGTTGTTGAATTCATGAAAGGCTGAACCTTTTTTCAGCAAAATTAAATAAACCAAAGAAGCTAATTCGGTGGGGTTTTTTCAATAAGTTGAATAAAGCTGCACGGATAGTGCTGTTTCTCAGTGTCTTTATCTAAAAAATTTCCTAGGAAACAAACAGAGAAAAGAAGTAAAATTTTCTCACCATTTTCTTCGCTTTGAATTTGATATGATAGAAATCCTTATCTGCTCTGCTCAATACTGCAATGAATACACTTTGCAAATTGGAATTTGCAGATTAAGGGAAAAAAGAGAGAAAATAGAGTGAGAAAATAAGCCCACGGAATGTGGAAAGACTGGTGATATAAGGAATGGAATTTTGCAGAGAAAAAATATTTAATATTATTTTTTAAAGTAATTATATAGAGTTAGATAACTCATTATATATTATTTTTTAAAAAATATTTAATATTTTTCAAATGATAAACACCCTAACTATTACATAACAATTAGGGGTGAGTAAAACTCGACTTAATTCGAAAATAATAATTTTTCGACTCAACTCAATTCAAAAAAACTTAACTTGAAATGACTTCGAATTGTAATTTCATAAACTCTACTTGATTTGAAAAAAATTCAAGTTCAAATCGAGTTGTAAAATACAACTCGAATAACTCAAAATTTTTAGTAATTAGTGGATAAATTTTCAAGTTTGAGTGGAGCCCCTCAATTTTTTGTGATATATGTATATCACATATGAAAAATATATATATATGTATCGTATTTTTTTTTATCAAAAATCACATTATTATATATATGTATTATATATGATTATAAAAAAAACCATTTAAATTGAAATCAATTAATATCATAATATTATAAATATTTATAACTAAATTTAGACAAAAACTTGAAAATTCGACTCAACTCAACTTGAAAATTTTTCAAGTAAACTCCGAGCTCATCAACTCAAATAACTCGAATTTTTTTGACTTGTGTCGACTCGATCGAAAGTTCATCCCTAATAACAACTTCACTAAGTGAAATTATAGGTAGATTTTAAAAAAACTAAAATGATTGGTTACTTGTTTGAGTGAATTTTTTTTTTGTCATTTTTAAAAAATAAATAATTTAGGGTTTATAATAATCCTATCATATTTTTACATCAATTTAACTCTCGAAATTGTTCAATTGCATTATTTATACCATGCCCCTAACTTAAAATCTTAAATTATAAGCCTTAAACCCTAAACCTACATTCTAATTTAAGGTTTATAAGTTAGAGTTTTAAGTTAAGGGTAAGGTATAAAATGATACAATTAAACAATTTTGATGACTAAATTGATACGAAAATACGATAAAGACGAAAATGATAAACTAAGTCTATTATAAGAGCAAATATGACCCTTAAGCCAAAAGAAAACCTAAATAACATAAGAAGGAATTTGACTTTTAGTAGGGGCATCATAAGAAATAAAAAAAGGATGCCTTTATTTCCAATAAAGGTACAAAGATAAAGGCTGTCCAATACATGTAAAGGGTAAAAAATATTTGCTCCAAAAATTCTGAAAATGCAAAACTAAGAGTTGACATTTTTGTTTTTATTAGGGGAAAAAAATCAAAGCTTACTTTGAAATCAATGTATTTCAAACCCTAAAATTTTTTGGTCAAAGTGTAATGATTTGATTTAATTGTTTACTTAGATTTTTTTTAAAATTTTGACTTATCATATTTATTACCATTTGGATTAAGACTAAGAATTAGTGTTTCTGATAAGTTAACTATTTATCAATAATTTGTTTTCATAATTCAAAGCTTAATTAAGATTAGGGTTTAAATTTGACATTAAACGCACACATCATTGATATTTATAGTACTCAAACCAGATATTAGGATTGTAAATGAGATGAGATAGATCGTGAGCTACTTGATATTGACTCAGTCAATGCTCGATAAATACTCGACTCGAGTTTTTAATGAGCCTAAACGAGCTACTTGATACTCGACTCGAAAAACTCGCGAGTAGCTCAAAAGTATAATATATTAAGATTTTATTTTTTTTAAATAAATTATTAATAATATTAATATCTATGTGTTGATTTTTTTAAAATGTACAATATCATGTATTTAAAGTTCAGTTTTAAGTTTGAGTTTTGGGGTTTCAATTGAGTTAAATTTAAGATTTTTTTCATTGCGAGTTTTTTTGAGCTTTAGTTCATAGTTTCGAGTTTGAGTCGAGCTTGAAAATTTTAGGCTCACAAGTTTTTGAGTCGAGTTGAGCTTAGTAATACTCGAACTCGACTCGACTTGTTTATAGTCCTACTCGAGACCTCAAGAAATAATAACAATTCATTTACTAACGAGATCGCTTGGTTTGTGCAACTCTGTCTTTTTACTACCGATATCGCTTAGTTCGTGTCACATCATCGTTTTGTTAACGATTTAACAATTCAGTGGTATAATTGAAACGAAAATCAAAGTTCAGTACTATAATTGACAAAATTAAAAGTTTAACGGTATAAATGATACAACATCTAAAGTTTGATGGTATCCGATGTAATTTACCTTAAAAATATTATTTGACTTAGAGATGGAAATAATAAGATTATACGTAAGTTTAGGTCAAGTGTGACTCCCAAGTTCAGGGCCAGGGCATATTAAGACTCAATTAGGATTTATATAGAAATTTACAGATTGTCCACCAAGAGTAACAATGATAGGATTCGAATTTGGTCTTATAAACTCAAATTCTAAATCTCAATCGCTTGTATCAACACTCGTAGGTATAAATAAACTCACAGGTAATATCTTATGAAACTCGTCACGATTATACAACTATTTTCTTATACACACGAAGTAGAAAAGGAAGATTTCAGATAAAAATCGTGACGATTTCCACTTAGTACTATAATAAAAGTCTTGGTTTAAAAAAATAATTTCCACCACGCCTTATAAAAAAAATCTCACTCTACTATTCGTTCTGTATGTCGGTTCGTATTCAGCATCGATATCTAGAAAATGTTAGGGGTCCCCTAGCACGATGAAACTGGGTACCATAGGTTACTTCCACGAAGTCACTGTTGTCCTATCAACGGCCATTGCAAACACCTGGCTAATAATAATATATAGTCTCTGCCATAATATTTACTTTGTAAATTCTAGGTCCACTTTGAAGATACGGTTCCCACAATCCTTCCAAGTTATAGATTTAATGCACACTGCATGAGCTTTGTCAACATTAGCCAGCATTGCCCACTCTTTGCTTACCTTGGGAAAAATAAGACTAGATATTTTTACACACAAACTCCATGTTGGAAACATATATTAAAACATAACAGAAACTAAAATAACATTAAGTTGTAGAACTAATGTTTGAAACATTATATCGTCAAGCGAGTCGTTCCGCGTAATTTATCGAATATGATCTGCATATGTACACAAGAGACAATGTCATACAGATTTCAGCCAGAATACCAGCCAAAGTATAGGAAGTTTAACAATAGTTCAGCATTTTAAGAAATCGGACAGACACAGTTATGCTATAACCTAACCCATGTCCACTCTTTCGTTATCTACCAAATATCCAAACCCAATGCTCATTGTATCTAACCCAAACCCACCACTTCTATATCTTACCTTTTATTTCCATGCTTAGATTCGTCGTATCTGTTCTAAATGCCTTCAATCATTTGACTATGAATACTCAATCACCCTGCTACAGTCGCTAGTGCAATTATTGGTGGCCAACAGCTTACCAAATAGCACCAACCGAACCTTTATATATATATATATATATATAAGTTTAATTACTTAAAAGATCATATGATTATGGAGTTAAATTTTGAACACTCTTTTAATATGATATATCCTTCACACGTTACCTTTGCTTGTGTTGAAATTACCCATCCCTCTAAATAATATATATATATACACACACTCATATAGTTTAACCGAAATTCATCTAAATATGTAATTAGTTTGAACCATAGTTTATCATTATTCTTTAAAACATATAATGTTATAATTTGGCCTAACGGTTTTATTAACAAGAGACGTGAATAGTATATATGTTTGAGATGAAATTGAAATGTTCAAAAAGCTTGGGGACTAATTTAGGGTGAAGGTCATAGTTTGAGGATAGAATTGAAATGTTCAAAAGTTTGGAAACTAATTTAGAATGACAATCATAGTTTAAGGATATAATTGGAATATTTAAGAGTTTAGGGACTAATCTAGAATGAGAATCGTAATTTGAGGACATGTGATGCAATTAACTCTATTTATATAATGGTTCTAGTAATTGATTTTTTTTATATTTTATAAAAGTATTTTCAAATTTATCTAATTCATATGAAATGATCATTAAATTTTATTAAATTATTATAAAATAATCATTAAATTTTATTGAAATATTAGGTATTATTTAATTTTTATATATTTTTACACTTATTATAACATCACGACGATTGTGCAATTAACAGATTTGATAATTATTTTATATTTTTTAAAAACTTAATCAATTTTATATTATATAAATATCTTAAATAAGGATGAATCGAATGACTTTAATAATAAACGAATTGTTATTATTATTTAAGATCCCATGTTTAAGCACGGAGAATACAAAAGGTGTGACCTATTTTGTTGGTTTCCTAGAGTTGAAGGCTGTGAAATGTAAAATTTTGAATAGAAATTCCATATCAAGTTGTACACATCATTGATATTATCTTTGCTTGTTTCCCCATATCCTCACCGTCGAACCAACTTCCCTCCTCCCTGTCTTTCAACAGACGGCCCAGATTACTGGCGTGCGACGTCGAGACCCAGCTGCGTCCCGCCCTGTATTTCCTCCTAAGCATCGGAATCTCCGAGGTAAGAAAACACACTTCCTTACTGTCTTGCAGCGTGGAAAATAAACTCATCCCCCGCATTGATTACTTCCGAATAATCGGATTCTCTCACAGGCAATCGGTTTCAATGTTCCGTAGGTTTCCCCGGCTGTTTCAATTACAGCGTTAAGGGAAATTACGAACCCAGATTGAATTACTTTGTGGTGGAAATGGGGAGGGATTCCCTCAGTATTTTTGGTTTAGCTTGGAAAATAGGATTCAGCACAGGCATCAAATTGTGAAATTTAATACTATGATTCAATATACAGTGAAAAAATAATTGATTTTTATGTGGCTGCCTCATTTGATTCAATATTTTGAAGGTGGTGTAGTCAGGATCGGACGCAAGATTTTGCGTCGGGTGGACTTTTAGAAGTAGGGGATGATGTACTTTATCTAAACTATACGA